AATAAAAAAGTCAAGTTTTTCTAAAAGCTTTAATCTGTAGTTTTTTATAAAAGAAGTGATGTTGAGTACATGAAACCCTACAAAATATTCACCTATTAAAACTACAAATAAACATGTTTGGTTTGAAAAAAAAGAGGAGAAACTTCTTGAACATTTCAAAGTGAGGAATGATTTAAAATGATCACTTCATTATTTTATTGAGATAAAAGAAAACAGCACTTAATCAGATCATGTAGAGGGCCAAAGCTTAGAGTTTGCTTCTGGAATCTATTTTTCCAAAACTAAAAGAGTTTTGAAGAAGTGAAAGTAGGGGATCTTGTTGATGAGGAAAACAAAAACAGTTGTGGAAGTATTTTGTGGAAGTACAGCATGTGCAGTCATGTACAATATTGCTCAAGAGAAGGATAGGATGCATTATAAATGCACAAGTGACACAATTGTCAGATGACAAATGGAAGCTGGTGCAGTAATGCTGGAGACACTGCTATTAGGCTGAGGTGAGAGACTGTCTTGTTATTTACAAGAATTATGAAAATGTACTCCAAACCACACGGAAATGTGTTTGCCTGTTTTGTCTGCAGAGATGTTTACATTCATTTTTAGATATTATAAATATTCGATATTCACGTATGACAAGCTTTTTACTTATTTTCTCTTTATTGATTAACAGAACCAAATCTATTGTAGCTAATCTAACTTAGCCTATATTTAAGTTTTAAAACAGAACTTTTTTCAAAACTGAATCTTCAAGAAATTACTTTGAACCCTTGGGTTGAAATTACATACTGCTAAGCAATAATAATCTAGGAACAGTGATTGTGGTATTACTGATATTTATCATTAACAAACTTTATTTTTGTTGTCTGCTTGCAGGGACTCAACAGAATTTACAATGGATTCAGCAGATTTTGTATTTGACTCTAATTACATTGATTATGATAACGTCACCCTCTCTGGCAATTTCCCTTCTGAAGAAGTTTTTTTCCACGTCCACACCACCACATGTTTCACTGAGGTTCTTTGCCTGTTGTTGCTGGTGATCAACGTGATCATCTGTCTGCTGGGCCTGGGAGGAAATGGTGCGGTTATCTGGATTGCAGGGTTTGGCATGAAGAGGTCAGTCAATACTACCTGGTACCTGAGTCTGGCTGTATCTGACTTCATATTCTGCTCCTGTTTGCCTTTTAACATCGCCTACAGCGTCACATCGGACTGGATCTTCGGCCTCTTCATGTGCAAGTTCACTTCCTTTGTCATGTTCCTCAACATGTTCAGCAGCATCTTCCTCCTCGTCATCATCAGCGTGGATCGCTGCGTCGCCGTCATGTTTCCTGTTTGGGCACAGAATCACCGCACTACTGGAAAAGCATCTGTATTGATCGTACTCGCGTGGATTGCCTCTGCAGCTTTAAGTATCCCGTCTATCGTATACCGTGATGTCCAGAGTCACCTAGGTATAAACCATTGCATTAACAACTACAAATCCAGCCAGTACAGCCACAAATTCATTGCCGTGAGCCGCTTTATTTTTGGATTTGTCATCCCTTTCATCCTCATCATTGTTTGTTATACCATCATCATCCTCAGACTGAGAGCCACCCAGATGGCAAAGTCCAACAAACCGTTTAAGATCATGACGGCTCTCATTCTGACCTTCTTCCTGTGCTGGCTGCTGTACCACACGTTTGTGCTAATTGAACTAAACCAGACCTTCCACAAAGAGGCCATTATTCTCGGACTGAAAATTGGCACCGCTGTCGCCGCCGCAAACAGCTTCCTGAACCCTGTTTTGTACGTTTTCATGGGCAATGACTTTAGGAAGAAGTTCAGGAGCTCCATCTTATCAAAGATTGAGAATGCCATTGGAGAAGACGGTCGAATGATCAGCCGTTACCTGTCTCGCTCCAGCTCAGTGGATGCCAGGGCGTCCACTCATATCTAAAGAATAAACTGGAAGTAATATTTTTTCAGTTATTTTTTTTCAGTAGGGCTGTCAATTTAATGCATTCATTTAGTATAATTAATTTTAAACTAAACTAAAATAACACACTGAAGTGTGCCTCCTAACTGTAAATTCCATAATAAGGACAGTTATACACTGTAAAAAAAGAAAAAAAAATCAAACTTGTAAATACAAAAAAAAAAGATTATTGAATTATGTTTTACAAGAAAATACTATTTCAGTCTTTAAAATTTCATGTTTAATTCAATGTGTTACTTGCTTTTTCTTTGTAATTATTTGTAAAATTTACTAGCAACTTCTGGATGAAAATTTGTTTCAACACCAATTTTTTTGTGTGAAATATCTGAGCCAAAAGGCCTCAAACTTGACTACAAATGGTCAAAAAGCAAAAGAAACGTAAAAAAGCAAAAAGTAAATGTTGCATTACATCCATCTATATTTGATAAAATATGTACTTTTATACTTAAAAAAAAAAAAGTCACTTATCCATCTCTGATCTGAGCAATTTAAAGGGGTGGTTGACTGTTTTTTTTCTAGACTTGATTGTGTTTATGGGGTGCAGTCTAACGTGTTAATGCTTCGTTTGTTAAAAAAACCATTATTTTTCACATAATTTACCTTTATTCCACACCGCTCTGTCCCTTCTCCTCTGAACGCGCTGATCATTTCCTGCTTTTATGAAGCCCCTCCCTCGGAAATACACGATGGGCTCTGATTGGTTAGCTTTGGTTAGCAGTGTGTTGTGATTGGCTAAACTGCCTCTAGCGCGTGTCTAAACGTCCCGCCCCTCAACATAGCGGCATGTGCTCCGGTTGTATTGTAAACAATGACATCGTCTATACTGCTTATCAGTTTGAGCCCGATTGAGACGCAGAGGATATTAGTGAAGAGGATCGCGCAGAACCTGTGCAAGCACGGCTCTTAATGGTAGGCCTGTTTTTTGTTTGCTGTTTTTTCATACTTTTAGATACTCTGTTATTTAGCTACTGCTTATGTTAGCTTTTAATAAACGATTTTATCATTAAAGCTTTTATACAGTATGGCAACCGCATGCGCGTCCATGTTTAACGCTTGTTATAGCTATGTGAAAATAAGTGTATAAATGGAACAGTTCATTGTTGGAGCTGAGCTGATCTGAATGAGAGAGAGAGAGAGATGCGGAGCAGAGCGACGTGAGACCCTTACCAGCTGTTTTTCTAGGCATTAAACTGCCAGAATTTTAAAAGACGATATCTCCGTTTGCATTGAACTTTCAGCTTAGTAACTTTTCAGATATTGTTTATGATCAAACAGCAACATTACACACTAACTAACATTAAAAAAGTGAAATCGCAATCAACCACCCCTTTAAGCTTGAAATACCACCAAATAGATTGTGTTTCACTGGATGCATTGTTGCATTCAAAACTGCTTGAGTGCAGCAAAGTTACATGTTTTTAATAGTTAAAACTACTTTTAACTTTACTTTTAAAACTGCATCTTGAAACATGGTGCGCAAGATGCGTTTAGAGAGGTGTGACGCAATAACCAAAAACATCTGACTAGAAACATTTTATATATAAACAGACCAAAAATAAGGTGAATGGGGTAAACCTGTCCTGTGTGAATGACCTGTAAAGTCATGTTTGTTCAATGATATAAAAATAAAACTTATTTTGACTTCTAAAGCCACTTTTTAAATAGGCTATAAATTATATTCAATTATTTACTTGTCTGCCACAATTTTTTACTTGTCAAAACTCTCATTTTGGGCTTTGTAATTAGTATATGCAATTAATTTGAATACATTTTTAAATGATTTACAATCTTAATTTTTAGGTATTTATAGTAATATATCAAACCATTATTATGCATAATGCAAATGGCTTATTGATGTAAGCTATCATACTTTAATCTTCATAATCACATGCACAGATCTTGTACAGATCTGAACATTATTGAACTTCCCTGTGACTAATACATCTTTTTGTTCTGAACACACTTCAGCATCAGTTTGGTGTATGTTGACCTGCTCACTGCATGGCGCTACATTCTCGGTTTTTAACCTCAAACCAACCCATCGCTAACTATCAGATAAACAGAGCAACTTGAATAGGGTACTTGATAAGTGTGGCCGTTGACAGTTCTCAGTTCTCAGAAATGTGCTTGCATCTTACAGAGGAACTAGGTGTTAAAATGTTTGGCCAGTAGCTCAGTCTGCATTTATCAGCAAACAACCCAGCAGCAGAAGTTGATTTCTATTGATTTCAAACGGCATTGTGAAGCTTACTTTGTGAGGTAAGTTATCTTCAGATGACATCAGAACCAATTCAAGATAATATGTGCATATGTATGTTCATACAGTGAACACTTGTTTTCGGTTAAATTTTAAAGACAGCAGCAAAAGAATTAGGATGCATACGATTAACAATTCCATGTTGCAATAGAATATTTTCCAAATTTTGGATTGCAACCACCTTTAAAAGGTGGTAGATATCAGATATAACACAAAACGAGACATTACACCCACCTCACTTAACAAACATACTTTGCACTCATCAGTGTTACAAGTTTCGCTTAAAGTTGTACTTAAAATTAAAATGCGAATAGCACGTCACATGTGTTCTGTGGTTCTGTGTGGTTTAAACACTAAACTAGCTTTTTAAGTAGCAAATTAGGCAATTTCCTTCATACAAACAGGCATGCATGTAACCCATCAAAGGGAATTTAAGGTCAAATGATTATCAGAAAAGTACAAGCAGTTTATGGGAAAAATAAGGGAAGCTATGGGAGAATTCTGCTAGCATTGTGCTTTTTATTGGCCTTTTTTGACAGCTCTGCTTGTCAGAGAAGGACTGATTGGAAATGATATATTGTATGCATCATGCAGAACTTGTTCTGTTATTTTACTACTGAGAGGAATGTTTTTTAATGGTGAAAAGTTAACTATTGGTTAACTCTGGTACATAGCATCAAATGGAAATATTTAAGTTTAAAATTGTACATGGTCCCTTCAAAACAAAACAAACCAGGAAAACATAACTTTTAAATATTTTTGTCATCCTAAAATGGGGGCAGGGGCAGATTGTCCATTTCTAATTATTCTAAGTCCCCCCAATGTCTATGGTGGTTACAGCCCGGCTTCAGTTTAAATGCATTTGGATAAATTGCATATTGTTTTTGTTACAGAACTCTGCTTCCTGTTCAGTTCTAATGGAAGACACAATGACTCCAGATACAGATTATTATAATAATTTACAAGAGTTATCTGTAGACAGCCATACGAAAGAAGAGAAACTTCATGAGGCTACTGAGGTACATCTTGGCTACTGCAGGGAAGCAGCATGTGTAATTACAGTGATCTTTAATGTGATCATATTCCTTCTTGGCATCATTGGAAATGGTGCGGTGATCTGGATTACTGGTTTTAAGATGAAGAAGTCAGTGAACACCACCTGGTACCTGAGTCTGGCTCTGTCTGACTTCATTTTCTGCGCTACTCTCCCTTTCACCGTTGACTACATGGTGAAGAACAGCTGGATCTTTGGGCCCTTCATGTGCAAGTTCAACGCTTTTGTTATGACCCTCAATATGTACAGCAGCATTTTCATCCTGGTCATCATTAGTGTGGATCGCTGTATCACCGTCAAGTTTCCCGTCTGGGCCCAGAATCAGCGCACCGTACAGAAAGCTTCTGTAGTTGTTATGTTAGCTTGGTTCGTGTCTTCTTTGCTTAGCATTCCATCTGCCAAATTCAGAGAGATTATGAATATAGACATATGCTATAGCAACTATGAGAATCACCACAAAACCGTTGTGTTCATGCGCTTTACTTTTGGGTTTTTGATTCCATTCCTGACCATCTTCACCTGTTACTCCATCCTGATCCGTAAACTTAGAGCAAACCAAATGTCCAGATCCACCAAGCCCTACAAGATCATGACATTACTGATCACAACTTTTTTCATCTGTTGGTTGCCATTTCAAATAGTTTCCATTTTAGAGTTGGACCGAACTGAGTACAGCTTTGCCTTTCACACAGCCCAACGAGTATCCGCCACTCTCGCCAGTGCAAACAGCTTTCTAAACCCGTTCCTCTATGCATTCATGGCCAAGGACTTAAAGAAGAAATGCTATTCCTTTCTTTCCAAGATTGAGAGTGCCATCGATGAGGAGACCCGAAGTGCTTTCAGAGCAACTTCAATTACCAATTCTGTGGATAACAGACATTCCACTGTTGTCTGAAATTTTAACACGAGTCATGCACTAAAGAGAATGCTGGCCCATAGAAACGGCTTGGCATTAACAAGTAGTGCAGTTGTTTTGTCTGTTGCATATTTTGAGTTTGGAAATTTACAAGTAGAAGTTAAAAAATTTAAATAGATGTTCAATATAAGCTACTTTACAAGTCATTATATTTTGTTTAATAATTTTGCAGAATTCTATGACAGCTATTAAATATTTACAGTTTTTATTTAACCATTTAAGTTACTGATTAAACGCATGGGGGTGGGTTAAAAGAATTTGGGGTTTTTGAATGTATGTATTAAACATCATTTGGGCAAGATCGACAAATGTTGTCATGCTCCACATCTCTCTCTCTCTCTCTGTTTTGCTAACATATGCATAAAAATATATAATAAAAATCTTGTTCTAACCATTCTGTTTCCTTAAGTGCTGGGAATTCTCTTAATTATTTAATATGCCTATTAACGAAATCCATACACAATACATTCAGAAAGACACTTCAGCATTGTTCATTTTTTATATGATAAACATTGTGATACTTCCTATCTTTCAATACTTCCTGCTTATATGCATTGCAGAAATATATTTGCATGTATTTGGTAGTTTATGCTTTATTTTCTACGATTTATAGACCACACTTAGTAAAACTAGATGTAGGGCTGAAGACTGTAACTCAAATGGTCGCAATGTAACAAAATGTAAAAATTTAAAGGGGTCATATAATGCTAAATGCACTTTTACAAGTTGTTTGAACTGAAATGTGTGTTGGCAGTGTGTGTACACAACCACCCTAAAATGATAAAAATCCACCCAGTACAATAGTTTAAAACCAAGTCGCCTTGGCATCCATATGTGGTTCCTGTATCATTTTGACAAATGACCAGACAAAAAGGTCGCTTAGATTCGCTTTTGAGTAAGCAGTTTAATTCATTGAGTTACAGTCAGCAGCTCTTCACCTCTGACCATTTAGTGTACAGCAGCAGTGAGCCATTTTATAACCAGACTGACTAGTGTTTGGAAATAAATCCTACCATATATTAAATGTATGGCGGGGAGCCTTAGTCTCCATCATTATGACCGCAGTAACCTTATCAACAAAGATGCTTAATTTAGCTCTGAGCACTGGCTGCTCAAGTGCTGCTCGTATCACACCTCCCTGTGAAAACAGCACAAAACAACAGACAAGTAGATGAGGTTCAACGATTCTAGAAAGTGCCAAACCCAACAAGCATTTAAAGGGGTCATATGATGCTTTTTTAAAGATCATTATTTTGGTGTCAATACAGCTGTAAAGAGAGAACGAAACTGCTTAAATTATTATTTTTTTGTTTCTTCAGCATTTTCACCAAATGCACACAGAAGTAAATGTAAAAACAAAAAACCTTACAATCATATTCAAATCTTTAAATAAATAAATAAGCAAGCAAGCAACTACATACATAAATGAATGTTGGGCCTCTGAGAATTTGGGGCGTTACAATTTATTGATCAGGACATCTGATGCACTATCCAAACAAATGCAAAACCTTTCCATATATTCACACAGTTCTCTCAGCTTACAATTATAATAAAAATCTTGTTGCAATCATTTAATTCCCTTTGCATTGCTGGCAATTACTCTCTGATTTCTATAATCATTTGGTAGAAATTCCTTACATTCACGCCATACAAAATACATTCAGAAAGACACTTCAGTTCCTTTTTGAAATGAAAAGCGTGTAATGCTCAAATTTAAAAGCCTTTTTTTAAAATATAGGTGCTGCTTTGTCTTTTAAAGTCATTCTCCTTGTGAGCATTACAAAAATATATATGTGTATTTACATATATTGAATGTTATTTTATTAGGTCTCCAGCTGAGAAGCAGAAATTTACCTTCGAGGTGCTTTTTGTCTCTTTAGAACATTGCTTCATACTTGCTTTCACCCCTTCAAGATTATTAGATAAAGTTGATTCGCTGTTTTGAATAAAAACTCCTGTAATTAAAACACTGACAAAAACAAAAACAAAAATAACAATTCTGAACATTTCTGGAACAAGTTGATAATTGCATCCAAAGCCTGACATCTAATGATATTTTTCATTTTGGGGAAAACTACTGTATCCCTTTAACAGATTCAAATAATAAAAGGGGTAAAGGGTCAGTCAATGTCATTTTAAGCAATTTACAAGAAGCCCCCATTTTTTTTGATCACCCATGCACTGCAAATACATCTTAAAACCTCAGTGAGAAAAACAAAAGTTAAACTCAATGGAACAATCTCAACGTAGAAGTGCTCTAAACACAAAACAGAAGAACTTGGTTGCTTTCATCTAAATCGATAGCTCAATAAAGGCTGCAATTTGCCTGCCTGCAAATCACTGAAGGCAAGTACCAGACAAGGTGTTTTCGAGTCGCCCATGCATTGATCTAATCACGTGGTATAACTTGAGGATTGAGGATTTTGTTGTCCATATCAGTCTTAAGAAGCATCATAACATCTGAAAGCAATTTCCAGATAATTGTGGTCACAGGAAGCTGGGGTTCAGATGTTAAAAATGAAATCGCTGTCCAGATATTCCCAATGAGACTGAAGTGCTTAAGGGATCATAGTGTAGTCCAGTAGTCGAAGGAAAAGCCAATTTAATGAAAGACACATATCATGGGTTTATCTAAATAGCTGTCCCGGATGTCTTGATGGCAACAGACACTTTTATAAGAAGTGTGAACAGTCATTTCCAGTAAAGACTCAACTGAATTTGTAGTGAGCACACACTTGTATTGGCCTAAGGAAGATGGATCCATGGTGATTAAACTCAAAGCAAATTGTTGCACAAGCCCATGTCTTACTATGTAGTGTAGACTATTAATGAAAGGGCAAACAGTTTTTCAGCAGTTCATTTCTGCAATACTGTACCATTCTTAAAACTGAAAGCAATCAAAGAGAATGATGATAAACAATTTCATATTCTAGGGCAAAAATGGGTATAGCTGGGAAAAAAGTGTGTTGTGAAAAAAAAAAGCATAAATGAAGAGATGGGTATCATCTGGGTCTGTACTTCTCGGGTACACCAGACAGGTTTCTCTTTCTGAGTGCCGTGTCCACGGTCTTAATAAGCCCGTCAATAGTGGCACACATCTCTGGCGTATAAGGGTCGTATTCCAGCTTCCTCAGCCCAGAGCGTTTGAAGTTCCCATCCTTCTGTCCTTCCACACAAAGCAGGCGGTCCTCTGAGACTTCTAGGCCCAGAAAGATGACCATGCCTTTTAACTCAGAGAAAAGGTCCCGTTTTAAGTCCTCAAAGTGTACCACTTGAACTGTCTTCCCATATTTCAGCCAGTCTAGTGTGTGGGATGCCCACCATGGAGCGTAGTTCTTCACAAACTCTGGCCACTCTGATTGAGAGAGAATGAGAGAGTTGATCTTCTTGAACAAAGACATCTTGCAGTAACATGGCACCAGAGATTTAGTGCATTAGAAAACCTTTGTAGACGTGTGACAGCACTGCACAAATGTACTGGACATCACCAAACACAACTTGATTCAATAGCGGAACTGCTTATGTATATTTTTAATCAACGATCAGAACACTTTTCTGAAAAAACAAATTAAGCAGAAGTCAATCACACTCTGAATTGAAGAACTTGTTTGTAGTTAAGTAATAGAATATAATTTTCTGCTGAGTCTCATCAGTGGAGAGAAAGAAAACAATATAATCGCTAATGAAGAGCTGATGTCTTTTTTTTTTCACAAACCAAATAAAATTAGCATAATCATGACGATAGAGGATGTAAAAAGAATGGAATACAAAAGGAAGAAGCAAAAAATGCTGATTTTTTTTTTAGATGCTTCTGCGTTTCGGTTAGTGTGACGCATCAGAAAGAATTAATAAGCTTGTTGGCACGGCAACAAGAACAGTGAAACAATAACAGAGGAACATACTGCACAGTGTTAAATGTTAAAATGTGTTAAAAAAAACACACACAGGCAACTTCATAACACTGTTAAAAAAATGAAACAAAAACAGAAACATGCTCATTTCGAAAATCAAGACACCAAAATGTCACAAGTATCTGCTTCTCCGTGGGAAAAATATATTGTTAAGAAGCAGAACAAGAGAGAAAAATTGCTTCAAAATGGACTTCATTGGGGTAAGGACAACGTTACACAACAAACTGACCACTACCATAGTTCACACACTTTTTTTTTTTAAATGCAACAATATTTTAGTAAAATTACATTAACTGCAAGTAAAATGTGTTTTGGTTTAATGGTTATAACTATTCAAATTTAAACACCAGAAACCTGTATTTGGTGCCCAATAATAGATTCCTGTACCTAAACATAAGCATCATTAGTCTTAAGCAAGTTTCTCATACAGAGTTAAAAGGGAAAAAGCACACACTCTCGACCACAGTATAGCAGTTTAGTTTAACCCCAAGACTAATGACAACGTCAAAAACAAAACAGAAGTTCTTTCAAACATTTAGCCTGATTATAAACATTGGTCTGTTAGCCTACCAAACTGCGTCAAATAACACCTGTATATGGAAGAGAAGCTGGACAAATTGTGATGGGGAAAGTTTTGTAAATTCTAGTAGCAGACAGTTCACCCAAAAATGAAAATGTGCTCACCCCTCAGGCCATTCGAGATGTAGATGAGCTTGTTTCTTCATCAGAACAGATTTGGAGAAATTTAGCATTGCATCACTTGCTCACCACAATGGATCCTCTGCAGTGAATGGGTGCCGTCAGAATCAGTTCAAACAGCTGATAAAAACACCACAATAATCCACACGTAATTCACACAAATGGTAGTCGGTTACTGATTCCAAATTACATGACAAAAATAGTAGTTAGTAACATAATCCATTATGTTACACATTTTAGGTCATGTAATCAGAGTAATCTTTTAGATTACTTTTGACCTAACTCGCTTATCACATTTATTTAAATACGATAATCTTGTACATTATGGATATAAAAATACAAATCTAGATTATCAGTTAATCAGTTACTATCCAGCACTGATCATTATTCTGCATTATCATAGATTGACTGGTATATTGACCGGAAGCGATGATTTAAATCTAAAACACCTTAATGATAGATTTGTTTCTTACAAACACACAGCTTTTCAGTTCGCAAGATGTTAATTGACGGACTGGAGTCGTGTGGATTACTGTGATGCTTTTATCATCTGTTTGGACTCTCATTCTGACGGCACCCATTCACTGCTTAGGATCCACTGGTGAGCAAGTGATATAACGCTACATTTCTCCACATCTGTTCCAATGAAGAAAAAAACTCATTTACATCTTGGATAGCCTGAGGGTGAGTACATTTCCAGCAAACTTTCATTTTTGGGTGAACTATTTCTTTAACAGAGACATTTAACATGCACGGTTTTTATATGCTTTATGCAAGTACTGCTGTTTGTATTGCACATCACTAGGCTTTAGAACAAGCTTTCATCTCTCACCTTTCCCCCTCCAATGAGCTTGAGAGGCAAATCCAATATGGCCGCCATACTTGCGGTTAAATTCTGCCATGAGGGCTTTATAAGGGTTCCGGATCATAAGAATGCTGGCATCAAAGGCCTCGATCTCCTTCTTGCCGCTCTCATGGGTCTTGATACATATGGTTCTACCACTGCGCCAGTGATCTCTCTCCCCTTTGAAACCTGCACACGCAGAGAGATCAAAGAGAGAGGAAGACCATCAGCAAGCAAGAGTCAAAAGGATGGCCTTCTTAAAAAGAGAACAAAAAAGTTAAGTTAACCTTTGTTGTACAGTGAGCCATCAAAGTAGTAGCTCCCGGTGTAGTAACCCGTGGCCAGCTCAATAAGGTGACGGGCCCACGTATTCCCTGCGCCTGGGAAACTAGCTAGTGCCACTAGGTGTTTGGAACGAGTGGGTAAAAAGCGCCGGTCCATACAACGATTATCTGTAGAGATAAAAGTGAACACATATCAGGGCAAATGTAAGATATCCTAAGATAAAGTCTCCATGAAATTGCTTGACAAGCAAGTACATTGGTGTGAAAAAGTGTTGGCCCCCTTCCTGATTTCTTATTTTTTTGCATGTTTGTCACACTTTAATGTTTCAGATCAAAGAAATCAGGAAGAGGGCCAACACTTTTTCACACCACTGTATATTAGCACATATATTTATGACCTCAAAGGTAACATACGTGGACAAAAAAATGCAAAAATAATAGTCTTGAAATCACAGTACCTTTGCATTCTGTAAAAAAACAGGTAAAATGTCTCAATCAGGTTTGAGCGGTGTGATAAACAAGAGGAATTGGGTGTGATCACTATTTTTTTTAAATAAATGTCATATCACTATCTTTGATAAAATAAAAACTATCAATTTATGCATTTTTTTTGTGTTTTTTAAAGTTATTTACATCTAAAAGTACCATATTTTATGTGAAATATGCTTATTTTTGTTATATTTAATATTTATTTTACTACAGTAAAAAAAAATTATAAAAAAATCCTAGTAAGCCAAAAGCTAAAAATGTGGTGACTTTGGTGACATATGATGGCATAAAAATATCAAAATTTAAAAAATATCAATAGCCACTATTTGGCTGTAGTACTCAGTGGCTGCATATAGGCTTACATCTATAAACCATTGTTGTAATAAACTTAACCTGTTAAGTTTTAGATTTTTTCACGTTAAAAATGTAGATTTTTTTTTATTGTAAAAAAAAAAAAAAAAAATTGTGTTGGGTGAGACTATAGAAAGATGCCAAAATATGCTTCTGACCATGCTATAAGGAAAAGACAAAGGAGACTAAGGCTGTGTTTACAAAGATGGCAAAATATGCTTACAGACAAATCTGACCATGCTACAAGGAAACGACAAAGGAGACAGAGTAATCATTAGTTTCTTTCTAACAAAAAAAAAACATCACATTTCAATAACTCAAAAACGTAAAATGCTACCAAACTAGTAAGAATAAACAATACACCTAACAAGTAGCATGTTTCAGCATGTTTTGTTTGGAAGCATCAACTAATTTTGCAATAGGACTTTGATCTGACTTTGAAGTGAGTGAGTGAGTGAGTGAGTGTGTGTGTGTGTGTGTGTGTGTGTGTGTGTGTGTGTGTGCAGTGGATGATTGACACATTCAAGAAAAGTGCTCAGTTACTTGCTCATTCAACTCTTTGTTTTTGGTGTGAGTGACTGTTTTTATTCGACAAAACAACAAAACAAAACAAACAAAAGAAAAATATAGGCTATAAATATTATAGGCTCTTTCGATGCTTTGTGTGTGTGTGTGTGTGTGTGCGTGTGAGAGTGTGTGTGAGTGTGAGTGTTTGCACATTGAGAATGTTATATAGGCTCACCCCTTCATTTATATGTATGTATATCTGCATTTTGTTGGATTTATTGATTTTTATTGGACAAATAAAAAATGCACTGAATTATAGTATTTCCCATTCATTTCCTATGGGTGCCCACTTTTGTCCACGAATGACAAATGAAGAAATTTTCTTAACTTTGTTGAATCGAGTCCAGTTTTTTTGTGTGTGTGTTCAGGTGGCAAACAGGAAAAGTAGTCAAGTCTTGTACGCTCAGATTAAGGAAACTACTTGTTAAAAAAAACAAAATGATTTTGCCCACATTTGTCCCAAAGAATGCTTGAGGTTTAACATAGTTGCAGTGCGATAAATTTGCTAACCTTATCTGTGTAAAGCTGAGAATACCCTTATCTTTGTTGTCCTTGTGCCTTAGTGGTCATAACTTTACACAGATTACGTCAGTTAAATTAAATGACAGAATTCTATGTCAAAATGTTGTCTTTTTTGGAAATGATCTGGCTCCAAATGCTTAACCCGAAAACATTTATTTAAAAGGTCCTGAAACCGTAAACTACAAATGATCTTCTGTCTCCGACAGGCAATTCATCCACACCATGAGTGTAACCAGTCTTTACAGATTCTTGATGTAAGCAATCAAACAGCTTTTATAAATGCCACTAAATAAACTACAGTACAAAAGTTATTTAAGATGAAACAGTGCACGAAATATTATATATTTTCCATGCAGAGTGCAAGTGCAAATGGCTGTGCATTTATTTGTGCATTAAATCAGAGCTTTCACAGGATGTGTGAATTTATGTAATGTAAGGTGAGCTAACAAAACCATGTGTAATGTACAACCCCAATTCCAAAAACGTTGGGACATTTTGTAAAATGCAGTCAAATCAAGAATCTGTGAGTTTATTTAATTCCCCTTAACTTTTCTTTAATTGACAAAAGTACAAAGAAAATATTTGTATACACTCCAAAAAAGTTGGAACAGAGGCAAAATAAAAGTTCAACTGTTTTGAAACAGACTTTTGAGCCCTCAGATGGCATTGCAAAACAAACCATCATGCCGTGGTGTCAAATATAGCCACATGCTCAGGAGTACTTCAGAAAACCACTGTCATTTACCACAGTCTTCCTCTGCATTGAGAAATGCAACTTGAATCTGTTACACAAAGAAAAACCTTACATCAATACTATGCAGTGATGCTGCCGGGTTCTCTGGGCCAGAGCTCATCTCAGATAGTCAGAAAGACAGTGTGCTGTGGTCAGATGAGTCCACGTTTCAGCTTGTTCTTGGGAAAAACGGACATCAAGTTCTCAGTCCCAAAGACCAAAGGGATCATCCAGACTTTCACCAGCGACAGATGCAAAAGCAAAGGTCTGTCATGCTATGGGGGTTAAGCAGAGCAAACAGCATGGGTGACTGGAATCTGTGCGAAGGTACCATTGACATGAAGGCATATGGGGCTTTCACACCGGAGGAACCTTTTCATAGTTCCTAGAATTATTGGCGGAAGTACCTGCTTTTTGGCGTGTTCGCACCGCAGGAACTAAGAACATATTTAGTTCTAGGAACTCCATTTGGACAAACAAAATTAGCTCCTACTTCAGAGTAGGGTCTAAAACAGTTCTATAGGAGCTACCAGTGACGTAAATGTACGCTGATTGGCCAATCGAAGCACGAAGAATAAACATATTCACGAACAAAGAAGATGCTGAAGAGTTCCTGCCGCCAGTGCGAATGCAACCACGTAAATGGCCCAAGGGGGAAATTGGTTCTCTATGAACCACCATGCTAGCTAGTTCCTGAAACGATGCGGTGCAAAAGCCCCTAATACAGAGCTGTAGTGAGACATATACTGCCATCAAGATGCGGTCTATCATGGGAAGTCCATGGTTATTAGATCAAGACAATGCCAGGTCTCATTCTGCATGTGTTACAACAGCCTGGTTTCATAGACACATGTGGATGTGACTGACTGGCCAGCGGATCTGTCTCCTATTGAAAGTGTATGGAGGAGAATCCGACAATAAATACTTCAGACTGATGAGCAGCTGAAGTCTTGTATCAAGCAAGACTGTACAAAAATTTTGCATGCAAAACTTGAACAATTAGTATCCTCAATTCTCATACAATTTAACACTGTAATTAAAAGGACAGATGATGTGACAGAGTGTTAAGCATGCCTCCGTCCCAACTTTTTTGGAGTGTGTTGCAGCCATCAAAATCAGAAAAATGATATAAAATCTGTTTATATTTACAAAATACATTTAAGTTGGCCAGTGAAAACATTGGAAACCTTTTCTTTGTGCATAAAATAAAGGTTAACGATAATCAACGAGCCACAGATTCTTGATTTTTATTGTTTTATGTAATAGCTATAGCGTAGATTTGAGGGAAGCTTTGATGCTTTTAACTCTTTGATGTGTCATCCCCTCCCCTTCACACACAATTGTGCAGCATATTTAAAAACTGTGGTGAGAACTAACCAGTACTTAAAAACGGGCAATTCCCCCAGCCTCAAAGTCAACAAAGTGACTCTATGTGGTTTTGTGGCCGAGTGCATGTATGTGCGTGTTTCGGAAAAAGGCTCTGCTTGCACAGCAGAACAGTTGCGCTATTTAAGTGTCACAAGCATGCATTTATTGAAATCATCTGCAGATATCTGAAATGCATGATATATGCTATTGATTTAGTGCCAAATTTACAGGTGAAGCCATCGCCTTTGACCGCTGCTGAAACCAAAGCAAAGTGGAATAAAGAAGTCACACTGTTTTCTTACTTTGACAGCAAACTCGGAGGAAGTGTAGAGGAAGTGTGAACTTAGCAAATGTGAGGGTCGACCTCGATAAGTGATATGCAGCCACAAAAGCTCAGTTAGAGCTCATAACACATTTGAAACACCGTGAAGACTGAACCGGGCTATATTTTGTGCTTCTATAGTGGCCTGACATGTTTGTTCTTGTCCTAAACAGGGGAAATATTTTGCATGTGGGCTGTCTGTGTGCTCAGCTGAGCACATGGTTTTGGTCCAAACAAATGAATGCTACCTTGCACTTGGGTCTGGTACACTACAAAGAAGTCATTGTTTCCACAGCTCTCAAAGTCTTCTCCTGCACAGTGCTGGAGACACAGTTCCTCATCCTCACGCTCATGCAGGGTGAAGAGTGGAGTAGGAAATCCACAGTGACATTTTTCACCAGCCAAGGCTGCCAGAGAGAATTCCTATAGCACACAAAGGAAAAAGATTATATAGGACAGACTATAAACACAGTACTGTAGTATGAGAGAGACCAGATGTACTCACTTTCTCTGTGCACATGTCAACACACTTGTCCACTGACATGTTTTTAATAACGGCACTAGCAGGAAGCGCCAGGGTCACGTTGTCTGGCCTCTTGAAACAGCCCTTGAAGATGGCACTCCCATCTGAAAAGCAAAATAAATATGAATTTTTAAAAATGTAAAACCAACAAAAACAACTACATATATACCATTTTTTGAAGAAAATGTGAGTATTGATTGCGTTTCAAAACCTCACCAGCTACTGTCTTGTAAATGTTTTTGACTGACTCGTTAAAAAAGCAATACACTGATGTTCAAATAGTATCTGACACTATTTGCACTAAGTGTAAATCTATCACTATTTGTACAAGTGGAAATAGTCTTTTATCAATTCATTTAAGAATGGTTTCATCAAAGGTTAAGTTGTTCCTGCACAACTATTGTATTCACTTGCTGTGTTTATCACATAACCTCTCATACGCAAACAGATATCCTGTCACATGAGAAAAGTGCTTAATCAGGACACACGGGGTGGAATGTCACAGGTTTCTGCCTGTGCTATTTTTGATCAATAAAGGAAACATGAGGCATAAGGAAAAGGGTGAAGGGCGTGCCATAAAGATCTGGAAATGGATATGAATTTTATTTTATTCATAGTTATATTCGAAAAACAGATGTTGTGAAAAGGATCTGGCAGAAGTTTTCAAAGCTACAATAAATAAACACAAATGAATGAGATAGGAAAAACAATCATTCAGGGCTCCCACTCTTTTCCAAAGATAATTTCCCAAGACTTCAAGGACATTTTTAATTTAATTATGGTGGGAATAAAAGACAAGGATGGCCATGACTTAACTATAAAATCAGTTCTTTAAAATGAGCTCTTAATTATAAATTACAACAAATTATTTTGTTCATTGTTTCTTCAGCATCTCTTGCTTTTGTTAACGGACCGTTTATAGACTGTAATATTTCCACACAAATGACATTTTGGAAAATGGTTGTAATACAGTTTGTTTAAAAGTCTGGAACAGAGATTGCCTGAAATAAAACAAAAGAGGTGACTGTAGATCACATGTTTGGAGAAAAAACTGGCCAGTTGCGATTTATGCCATGTTTATGGTACTTTCTACTACTAACATTAATCGTTTCGGGCTAGTGGTGAACTGTTCGTTCTTAGATACAGGAAAAGACAATAAAAAATTTTTTAAATAACAATTTTCCAGGACACGTGGGAACCCTGAAACAATGCGACTGAATTTTTCCGCAACCACTAGAAAACAAAGAGCAGAAATCATTCATGATAATCACTCCCCCGAGAGCTCAGTGGTGGCGAGCCATTTGCCCTGTGCTACGCTCTTGCAATCATGCTTTGATTATCAAAACAGCTTAAAGATAAACAAGACAGCCAATTTCTGTTAACAATAAACATTAAAGGCTCATTTGTTAACATTAGGAAAATATATTTATAAAACGGGTAGTTCCGGTCCTTGATTCTGATTGGTTGAGCCAAGTTCGAAGCTGTTGTAAATTACTCTACAGACATACACCTTTGTTTACATTTGTGTGTTGCCCGGCAACCACTTTGTTGGAACCACAACCGTTTCTGAGGAACTACATTGTTTGGCGGAAGAATAAAGTTTTTATTAATACCATTACATTTTATTTGCTTTGTTTTATTTTGTGAAACCTTGCTACATATATGGAATGACCGTTTTATAAAAGCAATAAGCCCCGTGAAGCCGTGGTTTACAGTGAATTTATAACAGCTAGAGGGGTTTTAGGGGTTTTCCGCTTCACTTCGTGCCTAAACACCCCTTAGCTGTTATAAATTCACTGTAAACCACGGCTTCACGGGGCTTATTGCTTTATTTTACAGCATTTCTTAAACTTTGTTAATTATATTGAAAACACAACTGATCATTTTTTGTTCATGTTAGTTCACAGTGCATTAACCAAATGTAAACTTTTAAAATTTTAAATGGATAAGTGTTGAAATTAACATTAAGATTAATAAATGCTGTTGAAGCTTTGTTTATTGTTAGTTCATGTCAACCAAAGTAGTTAATATTAGCAAACGAAATCTTACGTAAAATCTTACCCAATTTCCTGTAAGAAATTAGTTGGCCTTATCTATGAAAGTCATGAGTTCCTTTCCGCTTTTGAGATTGATATAAGTGATGAGTCACATATGTGCACCCGTCCAGATATATGCGAGCATGAGCTTGCAGATGTGTGTGTGTGTAAGTGTATGTGTGTGTCAGGGTTCTCACATCTGCGGGCCGACTCCTGGCTCAGCTCCAGTCTGTATATGGACAGTCTATTAGGTCCTCCACAGAGGTTACTCTTCTCCCCTTTACACTCCATATTACATTCACTCTCTGACACGTTGGGTGCCTGGATCTTATGGCCACAGTAGCACTCAGCTCCAAACTCCAGACCCGCATAGAGATAACCCCTAATAACAAAGGACAGAGAGAAAACATCATTATTCATTCAATTCATTGCAATGTCAGGGCAGTGGACTGCCAGTTAGTGTTCCGACATGCCGAGCTATGAAGAAATGCGATTTGAAGCCCTGTTCGTTATCCTGTACTCAATGCTGATTCTTCTCTAGAAGAGTATGCACAAAATATGCAAAAGTAAATGCAAAAAAGCACAAACAGAAAGAGTAACACAAAATAGTGTTTCTGGACATATACAAACCAGAACAGGTGGATAATTCTTGGAATATTTCACTCAAAACTGAGGTGCATAAGCTCAGATCAATGAGGCCAACAATTAATCAGTTCCAAAATGAAACGAGCACAGATCTGAGCGTACAAATCAACTTACGACTTCACGTGTGATTCATGAAACTTTCATCTGCCTCCAATTCCATCGTACGAATGATCGTACATTAATAAATGTGGTGACTGAAAACAATCGTCATTTGAATATCATGCCCCTAAAACGCCCCTGGTTTAGAAGCCTAGAGTTTACAATATACAGAAGAGAAAAGTAACCCAGCCACAAAAAGGAAGTAATCTCATGAAAGAGAAATTCATACTCCAAAAACACCCGTTAAACTTGTAATTGCAAACAATTACATTAATTTATATGTATATTAAATACCAGTAAATATAGTAAATATAATAAAACCTTTACAAACAAGAATGAAAAATAAGTAGCTATAAAATTATATACTAAACTATAAAATAAAAGACAAATTAGGCTATAGCAGCATTCATTATAAATAGTGCTGTCAAATGATTAATCACGATTTGCGACTAATCGCATCCAAAATAAAAGTTTTTGTTTGCATAATATATGTGTGTGTTCTGTGTATATTTATTATGTATGTATAAATACACACACATACAGTATATATTTTTTAAATATTTACATGTATTTACATGCCTATATTTATATTCATATAATTTATATCATAAATGAATATATTTAATATATAAACAACATATTTTTCTGAAATATATACATGCATGTGTGTGTATTTATATGCACATAATAAATATACACAGCACACATACATATATTATGTAAACAACAACTTTAATTTCGGATGCGATTAATCGCGATTAATCGTTAGACAGCACTAATTATAAACAACATACAAACGGCAAGCTAAAATTAATTTATTTAAAGTGAAACTGAAAGGGCATTGGGCTCACGAGCCTCTCTCGTTCGACAAGAATCCAAATGTTTTCACTGTGCCTTGTAACATTTGTTTGCTAAACTATTAGGGTTGGGGCGATGTCTAACAAACTGGCATCGCATGTCTACAGTGAAACATCGTGATGGACGATGACATTGGGGTGGGGGCTTAGTCATTAGAACTGTCCAATTTTTGTGACAGCATGGACGGTCTGCGTACAACAGGTGACTGTTGAGATAGACGTCTAGGCGATACTACGCATGTGTCGAGTTCATCCATCTGCGCTCATCCAAGTATACTTTGAAAGCTGTGGGGACGCGGCTGTGCGTGAGATGGAACGGATGGAAATTTATTGTAATATATTTATTATACAACACCCACAATCGGACCCACATGTTCTAGCCTATTTAATCTAATTAAATGTAAATTATTTTTAATTTTGTTGATGTTTTTGCATGCTTCGTTTAGTTTGTGTAAAACATATACAGTAGCCTATAATTAGTTTGCCATTTTTTGCACAATAAAATCTTTACTGTTTAAATTGTGGTCATTTAACTGTTTTGAATGTAATGTGGATTGTGATGGCGAACAGCTTCATTATGTTAATATTACCTAATCAGAAAATATATATTTATAACTGCATGTAAATTAAAATCATGATTGCACTGGGCGATATAGTGTGATTAATTAATTAATTAATTAATAATTAATTATTGACTCAACATCGTGATTTCTGTCAGCCATCGGTGATGGATGATGGCATCGTCTATCGGCCCAAGCCTATAAACTGTTATTCATTATGTAAACTAGGCTTTGTACTTTACTCGTGTTCCAATATCCACGCAAAAACATTGGGTGCTGCATGCTGATTTTACAGCGGACCTTTTAATTTGAGCTGTTGAGGATCAAGAAGGATAGAGGCAATGAGGGTGAGGGCATTTGTTGTGGAATTCAGGCATTTGGGTGCATTATCGTATGCCAGTTTGAAAGATGTGATCCATACAACAACCAGAAGTCAGGAAAAATGCAAATTTCTACTGGCATTACTATTCTGGCAGGCAGGGTTGCTCCAATGATTGCACAAGTCAACATCTACTTATGTGTGGGGTACACTGAACAAGAAGAGACTTGTTGTCTTTCACTTGTGCTACGATAATTGATTTGAAATTCAAAGATAAAACACAATGTTAAAGATGTTTTAATGCTTTTAAAACACTAAGACTTGGTTTCCAGGCAGTGAAATTGCATCTGAATTTGTCAGGTTTTAGACTTTTTTACACGTGAATTCCAAATCAATGGGAAATTGAATGTTCATAAGGATTTTTTTATGTTTTTTGAAACCGTAAGACCTTTTAGCTTCTTTTCAGCATATGATTGTCTATAAAGTTTTGACAATTTGCCAAACTTTTTCATAGTTCCTAGAAATATTAGCGGAAGTACCCCTTTTTGGTGTGTTCTGACTGCAGGAACTAAAAACGTAAACTCCATTTTGGTGTAACTAATTTAGCTCTTACTTCAGAGTAGGGTCTAAATCAGTTCTACAGGAGCTACCAGTGACGTAAGCATACATTGATTGGCCAAATGCATACAAAGCACTGGCTACTCTGCATTTTTAAAAAGCCATGAAAAAATATTTACTCCATGAACATGGAAAACAGTGACAACGGCATTTAACGCTGCGTGTTGTCATAGTCAGATTTTCATGCTCTTTTAATTGTGTAACTTGTGCATTTATATTCCATTATCTGTTACCACAAAACCCACGACACTCAACAAAAATAGCTCTGATCAAGGCATTCTCCATTCACCGGTTGTTGATGTTTGTAAAGACGTCGCTGTCGGCCGCTTCAGAGTTCCTGCTGTTGGTGCGAATGCAGCCCGAGGGAGAACTTGGTTCTCTAGGAACCACCATTCTGGCTAGTTTCTAGACAATTATAAATGACAGAACCCTAAAAAAAAAGGTCAAATGTCATATGTAGAAAACACATTTTGGAAAATGATTTTACTTTCAGACAAAAGATCCTCACTTCACTGAGGAAGGCTTGTTGCCCAAACGTCTGAATGTCCATTGCTCTGTTGCGAAATAAAAATAAATTACAAGCTGTTAAGAAGATACAGCGAGTGCGGATCTTTTGTCTGAAAGTGATGCTACTGATTGATCGATGCACCCAAAATCAAAGTTGAGGGCAGTGATTTTTTCGTGAGTGGAAAAGGATTTTACTCCTAAATATCTGTCAAATATAAAGTCAATTATAAGCTGTGAATTCACAATTAGTTCCATAGACGGTTAAACAATAAAAATGAACAAATAAGCATAAAAAACAATGGGTCTGGGGCCCGTTCTTCATACGTCGCTTATTACATCCGAGATGAAATGTCACATCCAAGATGATATCATCGCGCTAAATTTGAACAGATTTGTTTCTTAAGGGTCAAGATCATGTTATCTGCATCTCCTGCGCTCCATCAAGCCACTCCCATAATAGCTGTCATCACTCAAATTAATGCACGACTCTACATTATCTGTATAGCATGTGTGTAAGACTCAAATACAATTACGAAGTAATAATTTTATGACGAATAAATCTTTCAAGTGAGTAAAACTGGCTGTGTCTATAGTATTAAAGACTACACAAAGTGATTATATTATCTTTAAATACATTTTTAAATGATTATTATTTTAAATTATTGTCCCTGGATTAATAGGGTACTCTTGTAATAAAGTAGCGGTGGTAGCGGTCAGATTTTAAGTATCAATTCTGCTTAAAAAGATGCAATCTAATCCCGTTTACATGAAATAAGCTGCTCCCGAGCAGGTTTAAGCCTACGGACCTGTTGCTATGACAGCAACTCCGGGATGAGCTTCGAAGAACCAACCAATCCAAGATCATGCCAAATCATCAACAATCAAATCCAGCTAACTGAGTTAGCGACGTACGAAGAACGGGCCCCAGGTATAAATTAGTATAGGTTTGTTTTCACAAAAATAATTATTTAAACACACATATGCATGTCTGCATATATGTTCACTGGTTCATGATGTAGCCTAGTAGTTAAGCATCTGGGGTGGTAACTGAAAAGTTGTAGGTTCAACAAGGGATGTTTCTTGAGCTGCCACATTTGTGCTCTTGAGAAAGTCACTTAATGACCGGCTGTTAGAGTGTACCAAGTGTACTACAGTTTATTTTATACTAGGGGCTTATGTGGTGCGCATGGGTGTGCATGTAGATAACGATCTTGTAAAGAACAGAAAGCATGTGGTTAACATTCTGACACTTGACCAGCAGTGTTCCTTTCCTCAAATTCAGAGCTGGATGCAAGTTACACGGTTTTGGTTAGAAATCAGTTTCGATTTAGCTGATGCACTAGGTGAAAAGTTTAGTTTCGAAGCACTCTTGAAAGAAAGGTTTTGCCAGGCCTTTTTAACATACATATCACGGTTTCACAAAACAGCGTAAAATATATCAGTGCATTTTGTTATGCGCAAATGTGAATTGCACTGTGCCTTTGTTTGAGGTTTTGCTGTTAAATCTAAAACATCTGGACTGGACTGTATAGAGTTACTGTGCACTCCAGCCCTCAACACCCCTCTTAAAAAAAAAAGTGTGAGAACTGCCTCAAGCTGACACCGTGGTTTCAATGCTTCAGAGAACTTGTTTATAAAATAGAGCTGTCCTTTGAAACATGATGCATGAGGTCAATTTTATATGCATGATTTTTTTTTATCAAAGGAGGACAGTAATAGGATGTCCTTCTTCAGTTTCTGGCTCATCCCTATGCAGGCTGTGTCTGCTCCTAATCTCCTCAATATGGGTGGCAGGATTCTTGAATGTTGTGAGTGGGAGCACAATGCTGAGAACAAACAGATGTGCTGTTTATTTTGACACTCTCTCTCAAATCGCTATATCTGTAACACACACTACTCCCTTTAAAGCAGTCCTGACGCCAGAATCCCACAACCTCTTTTCCTCCCTCTCTCTTTCTGTGGCTTTTCCCAAACACAGATTGATGTTAAGAATCGACAGGAAGCACGTAGGGATGAGGAACTGAATAAAGAGGAAGTAAACCAGAATGCTAACAGGAATGAAAGTGAAAAGCAACATCAATAGTTCACCCAAATATAAAAGAATTCCTTTTCCCACCCTAATGTTGTCCTAAACCGGCATGTCTTTTTTTTTAACTGCGGAAAAACTAGTTTTCATAAAAATAACAACGAGTGGTGATCAGGGCTGGACTGGGACAAAAAATCGTCCCAGGCATTTTTTGGTCCAGGCGGCCCACCACCATTTCTATATATATATATATATATATCATTGATATATATATATTTACATTACATTTACATTTAGTAATTTAGCAGATGCTTTTATCCAAAGCGACTTACAAATGAGGACAATAAAAGCAGTCAAAACTAAGAAAAGAGCAACAAAAAAGTTGCTCAAAAAAATATTGCTCTCAATAAAGAGCAACAAAAAAGGCCCAGCAGAGGTTGTACTTCCTTTGCCAGCTGAGGAAGTTCAACCTGCCACAGGAGCTGCTGAAACAGTTCTACTCCGCCATCATTGAATCTGTCCTCTGCACTTCTATAACTGTCTGGCTCAGCTCAGCTACCAAATCTGACCTCAGAAGACTACAGAGGGTAGTCCGGACTGCTGAGCGAATCATTGGTACAACCCTCCCTTCTCTCCAAGAACTGTACTTATCCAGAGTGAGCAAATTTCAGCACAGTTGTCCTGGCAACGGAAGACAGTCATTTTTTTGTAGTCAAAAAAGGAAACCCCTCTAAGAGCCCGTTTCTGTGTGTCATCAATATAACAGCCGATGTGCTTTGCTAAAAAGAGAAAGATGTTAAAAACATCACTGCTAATTCCAGTAACAACAATTTAAGAAAAAGACATTAAAGTACTGATTTGTTATCTTGTAACAATTATATCCTGGTGAGTAACGTTCAAGGTTGTAAAGCACATTTTTAAATGTTGAAACACAGCACCATCTAGTGGCCAAACTGTAAAATCACAACCAGATCTATAGGACTTTGCTCTGGATGAGAGAATGAATATATAACAATAAAAATATATAATAATACAATAATAATATATAATAATAACACTGGATTAATTAAAAATACAGACTTAAATATTATAAATATTGTGAACAAGTATAATTATAATACTTTAGTCTGTAATATATATATATATA